CAGTAATATTTGGGGTCACAAGTTTTTGCCATGAATATTTTGTGGGTCAGAAGATAAAAAGTTTGGGAACTGCTGCAATAGAGTGTCAGAATAGTGTATATTTACACTTGTCATCCAAGCACAATCAAGTTCACTTTATCCATGGGCTCCATGTATCTGGATAGATTTCTTTTTTTTTTCTGAACAATGAACAGATGAAATAAAAACAAGTCAAAGTTAAATAGAAATGAAATACTTTTTGCATTTTTTAAAAAGTAAGGAGTAGAAAGTACATATAATTGAATTAAAATGTAAGGAGAAGTAAAAAGCAGCCTGAAAAATAATTACTTCACTAAAGTATAAATAACCAAAATTTCTACTTAAGTAAAGTAACAAAGTATTTGTACTCAGTTACTTGACACCTCTGAACAGTTTCAGCTGTTGTCCTGCTTGCTATTGCCCACTTTTGCGATTTTAACGTGTTTTCTGGTTTCTGAATGACCAGCTGCCCAACAACTTTCAACAGGTTGACCAACCGATTTGTTTGGTTATTAATCAAGAATTCTACAAATACATTTGTTATGTGTGTAGAGGTAATTTTATTTTGTTGATATTGTTCAAAATCCCAATCTGACTTTGGCTCTTCCTTCTTTAAAAGTATCATTTGATGCCCTGCATCCATCCAGTGTTGTGACCTGACAAACACAGGTCCTGGCCCCCATCTCATTTCACTTTTCCAGGTAAGGTGATTTGTTTTCTGTGGTTAGTTTGAATTATTAACTGCAGACAATACAATCCCCAGGAATGTGGCAGTTCTAAAACCCCTACATCTCATCTGTGTGGAGCAGTCTTAATTTGAGTGTTTTTTGGGGGGGACTTTACACACTTTTATTTGCAAACAAAAAAGTCAACATAAAAAAAAAACTAAAAAATTAAGTTTGATTGGAAAACAGGTTTAAAATGAACTTACAGTACGTTTTGTAGGTGCACACTAAAGCACATGGTTCTTGAACTACATTTGATCTCATCACATGATCAGGAGCTTAATTCACGCTCTGGACTGACTCACTCAGACTTTTTTTATCTTCAGTGTGGGATGTAGATTTTGTTTGTGCAGTCTCTCATAAAAAAACCTCCTCTTCATATTTACATTTGTTGTCTCATTCTCCAGCTCARGAAATGAGAGGGTCTGTCTGCTGCAGATTGTCACTTGGATAGAAAGTTTTTCTTTAAATATTGACCAAAAAGGGAAATATTTACTGGAAGAGATTTTTGAACATTTGCAGGTAGGAACAATTGTTTATCTCTTTGTAAATCTTGTTTTCTTTTAACGCTCCATTGATGATTCCGCAGTATTCTTCCCTATAATGCAACTGCTTCTTTGCGTTTCAGTTTGATCTGTTCTGATTATTATTTCCCAATAGATTTCAGCTGCTTACATCTCTTTTTAGGTAGAATCGATCGAACAGTGAATCTGAATCTTTTTCAGTTGAAAAATTATAGTGAAAATAAAAACTGTGCTGCAATAAGTACGATGTAGTTTGAAGTTAACTTTATAATGTTTAGTTTTATGTGAGGAACAAAACTTCCACTTTGCTCCTGCTGTAAGTTGTACTGCTTGTAAAGTTAGGATTTTGCGCCACCTGCTGGCTCAAAACATAATTTTAGTCTAAAAACACGAGGAGCTGAGCCTGAATTCAAAACGTTTGCATTTTTACACATTTCAATAATTTTTAAATTATTTTTAATGAAATTAAAGTTATATGTGTTGTTGTATTTCAAATGTTTACTTTTATAACGTGAAGCAACATTTGAGATGTCAGATTTGTGATTTAGCAGATGCAACTGAAACTACAGTAAATGTTTAATAAACAAATTTTATACAATATATTTTATAAATAAATAAACAAATAAGCTATTTTCCTTATGTATGTATACTTACATACATAAGTAAGTATCTTACCCCCCCTGTGAAAAGACCTTTAATGACAACCTAACCTAACTTAACCTAACCTAACCTTTAATGACAATGTTTTTTATGCTGTGTAAGGTTTTTTGGTGAATTTTAACTTCTACTTTTAGAACAATATCAAATCTTTCATCCAGCAGTGTTTTGGAATAAGTGTGTTCCATCAGTATGGATGTCATTAAAGCATTGATTAGTCTCTATCCATCCATTTTCTGTACACGCTTCTTCCTTTTCAGGGTTGCGTGGGTCACTGGTGCCCATATCCAGCAGTCACAGTGCGAGGGCACCCTGGGCAGGTCGCAAGTCCATCACAGGGCCGATTAGTCTCTATTGAATGATTTATTTAGATTAGCTTTGTAGAGAGACAGTAAAGTGCTGTGTGGATGAGTAAATGAGGACTCAGATTGTTGTGTAAAGTACCTTGAGCATCCTGTTGGAGATAAAGGAGCTATAAGTCCATTTACTAGTTTGCTGCTCCAGCAACAAAAGAGAACTTCTTGACTCTAAGCCCGTTTCCAAACAAACCATTTTTTTAAATGTAACATTTCTGAAAATAACTTTATAAACACAGCATCATTTCTTGAAATGTCCACATAAAAACACAGAAAATTACCTGAAAAGTAAATAAAGTAAATAAACATGGCCGACAAGAAACAAGCAATGGCTATGGCATGTGAACTATTTGTAACAGGGGAAAAAAACAAAACGAAACCAGACTTTCAGTTGTTTTGTCTTCTGTAGTTTGGATTGTCCTCTGTGTTTCTGTCACCTCACTTTWTGTTTGGCTATGTCACATACTACAAAGTGCTTGATTGTTATCAGAAAACACCACGTGCYGGGATATCGGGCCAAGACRGTCCAACATGTTGAATATCTCAGATTTGAAATTAAAGAGGTACCAACGTACTTCCAAACTGAGATCACTCTAAACACACAGCAAGAATATCTCATAAGACTTTAGAGCCATCATGACAATCAGGGGATACTTAAAATTAACAAAAACGGGTCAAAAGTCAGCATAATTATCTTGCCGTGTGCATTAGTATAACTAAGAGAATTCTCTCCAGCACTTTGATATTTTCTGCTTTTATTTCCAGAGAGATGGGTCTTGCATATATGCTACTCTGCGCAGCTGCCCTCATGTTCTCTGGAGTTTCGGGGAAGAATGAGATGAACCGGGCACCCAGGTGGACCCGTCAGAAYGTGCCAATGCTGACGGTCACTAACACGGCCTTCCTAAATTCAACTTTGTTTGGAGGGAAGGAGGAGAACGAAGTGGACGGAGAAACAAAAATGCTCTGTGGGATAGAGTGTCAGAGCGCTTCACCATCGATCAACTGGGACGAGCAGGAAAAGATTCTGGGATACGAGACGATGTATGAAAACGGCACGCGCACACATACAGATATCAGTTTGCGGAGGTGGGACAAAACCTCTGCAGGAGCTGAAGTAAGCTCACTTCCTATCCGCAGAAAACGTCAGGTTTATGGAGCAGATGGACGCTTTGTGATCTCAGATTCAAACTTCATCACCAACTACCCATTCGCTACTGCAGTCCGACTTTCCACGGGTTGTTCCGGAGTCCTAGTATCTCCAAAACACGTGCTGACAGCAGCGCATTGTGTCCACGACGGCAGGGACTACTTAGAGAGTGCTAGGAGGCTTAAAGTTGGACTGCTGCAGCTGAAAACTAACAAAAGRCGGTTGAGAAGAAAGAGAAGAGGGAGACAACGGGGTGGTAGCAAGCAAGAGGGTACGAGAGTTAAGAGGAAAGGAGAGGAGGAAGGTGAGGGGAGAAACAGTGTAGGAGGACTGAGGAAGAAGAGGGGGAGTGAAAAGAGAAGAAACAAACTGAGAGTGGGTGTAGGAGAGGCTAAAAATGGAAATAGGTTTGAGAGAAGAGACGTACGGGAGCAGAACAGTCTCAGTCGGACACAGCGCAGTGTTGAACCGAGAAAGGAACCCATCTTCCGTTGGACTCAAGTCAAGCAAACCCAAATCCCTCAAGGGTGGATCCACAGCAGCAGCTCCACAGACTCTGTTTCTCTCGACTATGACTACGCCCTCCTGGAACTGAAACGACCCGTCAAGCAAAAGCACATGGAGCTCGGCGTGGCGCCGACTTCACCGCTGGTGCGAATCCACTTCTCAGGCTACGACGTCGACAAAAGGCTGCCSGACGGCCAAGCAGACGAGAAGGTGATTTACCGTTTTTGCTCCGTCGTGAAGGAGTCCGACGAKCTGATGTATCAGCACTGTGACGCGCAGCGTGGAGCAACAGGCGCAGGTGTTTATGTTCGCCAGAGACAAGACGCGGGACACGAGGGCGGGAAAGGGAAGTGGAAGAGGAAGGTGATTGGAGTGTTTGCAGGCCATCAGTGGGTGCAGCTGGAGGGGGGTGAACAGAGGGATTTTAACGTTGCAGTAAGGATCACACCTTCCAAATATGCTCAGATTTGCCACTGGATTCATGGAGATCCAAGTTTTTGTAAAGAGGTTTAACCTTAGAGGGACAAATATCTTTTGTGTGGTTTCTGAAGTATTAGAAGATCAGAGATTGAAGGTTTGAACCTTAAATAGAGCATCTCGCCAAAACTGATGAAATGTAATTTCTGAGGTCAGATGGCTCAGCAWGTGTTGTAAAAAAAATCACCTTCCTTCATCTGTCCTTAAACACTGAAATAACCCAATACTGTCTCCAACAACTTGTCCAAACCAACTATTGTACTTTGTACAGCATGAAAAGAGCTTTTCAAAAATGTGTTTTTTTCATAATGTTCCTTTGCTGTTACAGTTTTTACCAGTTTCCCTGTACAATAAAGTATATCACAYACTGTTATATGATTGCTTCCATGCTTTAGACAGTGTTCATAAATCCTTTCCTTTAAGTGATTTATATTWAAAAAATACTTTGTCACCAACAGATAACTACACTGCTAATCTCAGAATTCTGTTTAACGTCAGAATTCTTTTTTATTATTATAATTTTTTTCTGTGGCCCTAATCTTTCCAGATGGCTCTTTCATATATTTCGGATTTGACCAGTTTGCCAAGTTTAATTAGTTACACTGCAAGCAAGGAAATAATTTTATGAAGCTCGCATCAGCTTAAAAAAATCATAACCAGAAGCAATACTTAATGTTATCATCACCCAAGAGTGCCTTGTTGTGGTACAGCTGGAGAGATGGCCTACCTGTAACTTTGGGGACCCTGGTTTCCAACCAAGGGTCAGCTGAAGTCGACAGTTGTCCAAAGTCACACAAAGGGTGGAAGTTGAAACCGTTAAGCCCTGATTAATTGGAGTCACCTGGGCTCTGCACTAAAGCAGTACTCCACTAACTATTCTCTCTTTGCTCCTCCAGGTAAGCTCTTTTGTTTTGTTCCAGTTTGGCTTTGGTTGCAGTCAGTCACACCCACACATACATTTTCACTCATTCAGGCACTGCATGCACTAAACATACTCACATGTTCACACCTCACATTTATTATTTTAGTTAGTTAGATTTTACTTCCGGTAAACTATTTTAATTGGCCTATATGTTGGGCTTTGAGCCGGCCTGTGGCATATAGATTGGTGCTTGTTGAATTGGAGTTTCAAAAGAATGAAAGAAAACATGTCAAAACATTTTAAACACTTCAATGATTTAATAATAGTAATTGTTATAATTGTCAAACAACAAAATCAACATTATTTATATGTAAAACATCTAGTAGTAGTAGTAATTATAATAATAATAAACAAAACTTCATGATAGGGTTTGCCTCTTAGTGCGTGATTATTTTTTCTTGGCTACCACCACACAACATTTCAGCCTGATATGCCTTAAAATGGCACAGTTATTGCAATTTCAAATTAGCTATGGTGGCCATCTTGAATTTTGATGAGAATATGTCAAAGCTTGTTTTTGGCTACAACTATATCAGCCTTTATCTTTGTTAGTCTTAAAACAGGCTTAAATAGCCTTATATAAAATTAGTTGTGTTTTGCTTTGATTGTGTTGTATTAGTTCTCAGCTACCAACCCACTAAATTTTAGTTTCATATGTCTTAAATGTGCTGAGCAATCAGGACGCCATTGAATTACATCTCTTTCTCTCTCTCTCAGCCTAAAGGCTGTCCTGCCCAGTAACAGCCTCAATCAATCAGAAGGCTAGATTAGGATGCTGTGTAAAATCTAAAATATATGTATGTATAATAATAAAAATTAGGCTAATTAAACGTAAAAAAATACAACACCAAACTTCTCCCTTTACTGGCACGTATCATGGTGCAACCCAGTTAGTCTGTGGTTTCTGGAACTAATGCAGCTGTGGCTCTTTCTAGTAATCAAAAGGGCAATTCCAGCAGCCTGTCCAAAGAAAATGGTAACTAAGAAACAAAACGTTAAACATTGTATGTTTAAAAAATAAACTGCAGCAAGATTTGGTAAGGAAAACGACTAAATGCGTCCACTCCAAATGGTAACCACTATTTAAAAAGTTGCTAAAATGTGAAAACATACAACAGTTTTTAAACTTATTTATATTTAAAACAAAGAAACAAAATCCAATGTAAAAAAATAAATGACAAAAATTACATGAAACAATCACGTTGCTGCATGACCTGGTCACCTGTTCCCCCATGTTTTTAGTCATGTCTGCGTCTTTTTGAATGGGTGCACTTAAATGTAATTTCATTGTGCAAACAATAAAGGCTTTCATCATCATCATCATCATCATCATCATCATCATCATCATCATCATCATCATCATCATCATCATCATGGCTGCAGAAGCTGCTGTCACAGATGCATTAAAAATGATGGTAGTCCCTTGATGACAAAATACTTCCAAAACAAAAACAATGTTTTTACGTAAGCAGCATTGTCCTTTCAAAGTCTTATTAATATTCTATTCTATTGTTGTCATGTTTGTCGCTTGAAAAAAACTTTGGTTCTGCTGCTCTGGTTCCTTTTTTTGGCACATGATGAAAAATCTGCGAGAAGTGAAGGCATAAAGAAGTGGATTTAGGCAGTTATTGATAAATGGTAGTACTACAACAATGTTCCACATCTTTGTACAAAACCTGAACAGTTCCTCATTTTTCAGACTAATAGCAGCCACACCCAGCACATTTATGGTAAGATATGGAACCCACAGGATGAAGAAGCTGGCAATGATGCTGGTAACCAGTCGAGTTGTCTGAGGATTGTTGAAAAAAGCTGCCCGATTTATCTTCTTATGGAGGAGAATRTATAAAACAGCCACAGTAAAAAATGAAGCAAACCCAAAYACAGCCTCTGCMRTCAGTACAGCTRTCCCCTGGGCATCAGAGGAAAACTGAAATTGGCAGGATTGGCAGGATGGCTTCTTTTGATTAACTTTTAGCTGTTGAACCACCAAACTGGGGATAGACAACGTCAAAGCAACCAACCAGAGAAGAATCAGCAGCAGTCGTTTTTGGATCTGTTGACCACTCTGACGGTGTACCACCAATAAGTATCGCTGGATGCTCAACCCAGTCACAGTCAGCAGGCTGCTATAAACGCTGCAGTACACCACGTACGCTAGAAGCTTACAGGACACCAGGCTGAATGTCCAGCCGTAGAGAWAAGCATAAATCCATACTGGAAGAGTCAGCAGAGAGAGCAGATCAGACATGGCCAGATTCAGCAGCAAATTCTGGCTCAGACTGGACAGATGCTCCCAGTTTGGTTTGAGAATGATGGCAGCAATGTTTCCAGGAAGTCCCACACAGAGGCAAAGAGAAAGCACCACTGCAGGAACCACAGATTCAGTGTCCAAGTCAGGTCCTGGAGAAGAGACGTTAAAAGTTGCCACAGTGCAGTTATAATGATCCATGTTGCCTTTTGCTGTCAGTGTTTTCTCTAAGACAGACTAATGATGGTAAACGTGCTGGCAGTCACAGAAGAAAAATGGGTAAAAAAGTAAAACAATGCTTTATTTTTAACCTTTAAAACAGGAACTTTAAAAAAGGAAACTGGGATGCTAAAGCCAAAGTACTAATTTGTTATTTATATATTCTTTCATTATTTGCTAAAAAATTTGCATGCTGTGATGTATAAATTTGGGATGATACAGATATCAAATTAATTTTTTTAGCCACAAGTTATACCCTTCAACAAAGTTTAAATGAAGTGTTAAGTGTTTATATATACACACAACTTCATTTGGACATTTATGAAACCAAAACCGTAATACCTGCAACAAAAACAACAAAAGTCTCAGATTTGGAAAATTGACTGACAATTTTTAAATCTTGCTGTATCTGTATGTTGAAGGGCAGTGATTTTAAAATTATTATAAGACAGTATTTAAGTTAACAAGAACTTAAAAGAAAATAGCTCCGTTCTGTTCAAAGACACAACCTCAGGGTCAAGAAGTCATCGCCAGCAGAGTGCTTCTTCATGCTACAAAAGTTATTTTTCAAAAGTTTGATTCTTTGAGATGACAAATCCTCAAGATCCACCTCCCTTGAAAGAGTTGTAAATAAACTATKGTGGGCTTTCTATGTCACAAAAAGAAACAACACAACCCATTATCAAATGCTAATGCAATTATTTGACATGGTAGACAAAACAAAACAGATCAAGGAGACACAATTAGTTTATTCATTCTCTGCAGAGCACAACAAACTCTCGGTCTTCTTTTAGTCAAATTCTATTTTGTGATTATTACCAGAGATAATGTAAATAATTGTCCTATTAACCCCTTAACATTTGGGCCTTAAATATGTAAACACCTTAAAAAGTAGACACAAATTAAATGAAGTACTGCCTTTGAACCCTTTATAGTAAATTCACAAGCTTGATCTCTTTTTAAAGCTAATAATATGAATTTTTAACTTCAGCAGTCATATTCTTTGTAACTGTAACTAGTATTCAGTATATTGAAGTAAAATACACAAAAATCAAGACATTTTCTCCCTAAATGTGTAGTTTTTATTTAAAAAGACTTTTATTTAAATTACACTGTAATTTGTAAATGCTTCAACACAAGGACTTCACTCTGGGCTCAAATTAAAGATAAAACCCCACAAAACACATTCTACCATCCATATTTACTCACAACATGATTAAATTAAAATATATATCTTAATATTCTGAAATATTTTTACTATCTGGAGAACATTCAGCCGCCAAACAGCCAAAACACAAGAATAAACCAATGTATCCTTGTTTTTGTTTTTTCTCAGAGCATTAACATTCCACACAGCTTATAAAACCACCAGCAGCGAAAAAATATTTGTCTTTCACTCACATTTGATGCATATTTGTCCTCAAATATGACGAAATTAGCGACTCAAAATGGCCGACTGGAAGTCTTTTTATCCAAACTTTTTTTACTTCTCCTGGCCACAAAAATCTCTCTTCCATGTCTTGAAGCACTCGAAACTCTTCATAACAAATATTTCCACTGTACCAGCATGTTTAGTTAGCTAACTTTCCAAAAAAGGATGGAAAAAACATTGTTTTCTGTAAGTGTTGCTTTTGTCCACTGGATAGAGCCATCTGCCTATAAATGACTACCGTCTCAAACTTTGGCCGTCTTTGGCTTGTGATTGGTTAAAAAAAGTTCTCACCCCCTCAAACTATGTACCAAATGAAAGATAATGTGATTGGCTACACAGCTGTAGCATCAGAATGAAGCTCGGAGCTGATTGGCCAATTCTACAGTCAATCTAGCCCAGGGTGACCCAAATCAGAAGTTGGTCGTGAGCCGAAAGATGAACCCAGTTGGTCAAATG